GAGAGAGAGAGAGAGAGAGAGAGAGAGAGAGAGAGAGAGAGAGAGAGAACATACATTCACCACGATGATCTTTAACCACGAAAGCTTCAGTCATGGCCTCACGAATTACAACTTCAGGAGTTGCTCCTTGAACAACTCGGGCTGCAATTCTGAACTTTCTACTTCTAATCCAGCTTGAATTATCTGTTAACTCAATATCGCCAATGGAAACAACGCCATCTCTCATAGTAACACTCACGTCTCCAGCAAGCAATGGCCTTTTCCCTCTTCTTTCCTTCACGATGTTCTTTTCAAAATCATCGCTAGTCCATATGATACTGTTGCTAGAAGGGAAATCTCCATCTACTACGAGAATCTGTAATTTTAGAGCACTGGAAAAGCTCGACTCTAGATCGTTGTTGGTGTCAACAAGATATATTTCAAGAGGGTTGCCATCTTCATCCAATATTTTGGTGCCTGTGAAAATTGGGAGTGTAAGATGCTTTCTGAATTTGAGTTGCATGGTACTCGAGGGTACGAGTGCATTGATCCGCAGGGAATTCGACCTAGAGTATGATGGTATTCTTCTTCGCAGTCCATTTTCAACCTCTTCGTTTACCTAGGTAAAGCACAAATAGTTATACAAAATAAAAGATTATAATTTAACAGTTTAGCTAGACAAAATAATGATTTGTCTTTAAAAAAGGAATTAACCATTTAAAAAAAGTGGTATAAGTATCATACCACTCTTCGAAGCATCGGCTCTAACACTGTGCAGAAATTTTGCACAAAATTCATCTTCACAACTTCCCCGATTGCACTGACCTCAATTAAAGATAAAATCAAGAAAAGTTGTCAATTTTAACCAAGCAGGCGAATTTTTTACGATGAATAGAAGAAATTAAGTAAAGAACATATGGAAAACAAAATATAAGACGTACGAAGCCAAAGAAGGTCTAGCACGCCGGCGTCTTTCATTCTGCCAATACTGGTCAGGTTCGGGTTGGTCGGCAAATCTTTTTCCAGTCATCTTTTTGGGTATCAGAGTTGAAGATCACCGCATCTATATTGTTTCCAAAGGGAAAGGAGATTTTAAGGACTGATAAAAGAAGAAGGAAGACGAAATCTGTTCAAGTCTTGGTCTATATAAAGTAAAATAAGTGAGAATGGGAAGCTTCGTGGAACGGTCAAGGAAGAAGGTTGGTAAGAGAGGTAGATTAACGCCCAAGTCTTGATGGAACGTTATATATGTAAGATTCTTGACATAGACTTCCTTTAAGTCAACCCCGAAGTCTTCGCCCCTTCAAATAGGCAAACATCCATTGCCCAGTCAACAGTTAACTTTCCTTTTTTATTGATTTAAAAGTAAACTACAAAAATAGTCCTCATCTTATGGTATGAAATTTCCTTTGTTCTTCGCCTGAATTTTTTTTTCTTTTAAAATAAAAACGCTCACAACACAGGTTTGTTGTGCAACTATATTACGACATTACTATTTAAAAAATTAAATATCTTTCTACATTTTTTTTATCTATACTGTTAGGAAGTAAACGGATAACTAGCAAAAACCAAAAACACACAAAACATAATATTTACGTGGTTTGGTTAAGGTGGTCTACGTCCACGGGCAAAAGGGGACTATTTTTTATTTCTGAGTTCCCAAACATAGGTTACAAACAGGGGCGGATCAAAGAGGTATCCTGGGGTAGCTCAAAAAAATTTCAGTAGTGTATTTTTTTTTAAAAAAAAATTGTTTCGTGTAGTGTATATATACGCGTCCCTTCACTTATAAGCACAAACAAACAGATAGTCTACTGGTTAAGGTGTTAGCTTATTGAAATAGAGGTCTCAAGTTTAATTCTTGCTCCTTACAAATCATTTGCTTACATTTCTTTTATTTTTTCAACTATTCTATTATTTTATTTTCCCAGCTATTTTATCCCACATCATGTTCAATTCTTACTCCTTACAAATCCTTTGCTTACGTTTTTTTATTTTTCCAACTATTTTATTCTTTTATTTTCTCAACTATTCTATCTGACATCATCAAACACATGCATACCTGGTTATTTTCATCTATTATATAAATTTGTTATCCCCATGCTTCATTTAATATCTACTTTGAGTCCCACATCGATTCAAGTATCAAAAGATACTTCAACTAACATATAACAACACTTGAAGTTAGCTAATGATTCGATTAACATTTAGGTTTAAAACCGAAACCAAACCAAAAAACCTAAGTACGAACTAAAAACCGAAACACCGAACCGATGTGTTTGGGTTCGATTCGGTTTTAAAAGTTACAAAACTGAGGATGCCGGTTTTGGGCTTAGTTTTAGGTAAAACTAACCCGACCCGCCCCATGCTCAGCCGTTGCGGTGATACCCCTGAAAAAAGTGGGATACCCCTTTCCTTTGAGCATGGCTTCGTCAATGGTTACAAGTACAATTTCATAGAGATTCGCCTATCACTCTACAATAAAAGATACTTCAAATGACTTAACATGCACCCTTATAAATTTATACTTGTGGGATCAGACCTAAAACCCTAATGGGTTCAGCTCATTAGCCCACAGGCCCATGAATGGTGTCAACGAATCACAATCCGCCATGCAGAAGCTTCTAGAACATTCATCTATGACATAAAACACATAAGTATCAGCAACACACATGGTGGAGCACCTTGCGTCATAATGTAGCATCATGATGCACAAGTGGCTCATCATGAACACTAGTGGCCCAACATCCATCATGGTGGCACAACAAGGTGTATCCATTGAGCATCACCAACATCCGAGCATCACCAACATCCGAGCATCATAGAGGACTCCGTGACTCATCAGGGAACCAAGATGGCGCAACACCTTCCTATTTCACACAACATGATCCTATATGGTGCAACACATCTTCAAGATGGTGCAACTTCTCCTATGTGGCACAAATTCTCTTCAATGTGGTGCAACATCATCTTGCATGGCGCAACATCGTTCCTCATAGCGTAACTTCTTTCATGATGGCGCGATATGCTTCCGTTGGGTGCAACATCTCCAAGGATGGCGCAACTTCTATCTACTTGCCGGAACATCCTTATGGATGGTGCAACATCTACTTGGATGGCGCAACATGTTGCTCCAATTGCTCCATGTTCTAATGTGATATAATTGCATCATTATAGGTATCATTTCTAGTTATAGACTGCTTAGTGTTAGCAGCGACCGTGATACTTTTCCTGATTGCTTCGATTATCTTTCCCATCAATATCTTGACTAAAATCAGACACTATAACGAACAAGATTTTCAAAACCGAGTAACTTACTTCGTAAATTTATTCTTAGATCGGACTTGATGACCACTATGGTCGGAATATCAATAGTCTTTTTAGTCATCACAGAAACAAAGGTAATGATGGAAACAAACAAAAAAAATCAATTACTAATGCCTTAGTAACCTTGTGACTTTCCTTGATCCAATTACGAGTCATGTGCTTTAGATAGTATAGGGCTCTACTACCTTTCACATCTACTCTGACTCGTCCCAAGAATTGTCTCGCATTCCCCAAGTCACTATCCATGAAAAATCACATATGTAACGACCCAAAAATCTAGGGTAAAAATTTCATTTTTCATTATAATGAAACACAAATGTTACTTAATCCAACCATTCAAAAACATTGCTTAATTTAAAACATTTATTAGAGTTACATCCCAAACTCACATAATGCAGAAAACACGAGTGTGTACGCTGCGATCAAGTCGATCCCTTCCTTTCCAAGCCGGTGATACCTGAAACCATAAACAAAACTGTAAGCACGAAGCTTAGTGAGTTCCCCAAAGCATACCCCACACAATCCACATAATCACATAATCCATACCTGTTATATCAGCTACATAATCCACATAAGCCATATCAATCACATAAGCCATGCATATATACATATAAGGAAGCTGTGGAAACCCTCCAAGGTCTTACTCCGAGTGCCATAGGAACCCCCTCATGGTCTTAGCCCACTGCCATGGAAACCCCCACATGGTCTTCACTAACTACCAATCAAACCATGCATACAAACATATGAGCTAATCATGCAAACATATAAGGATGCCTTGGAAACCCTCCGAGGTCTTACACCAGGTGTCATAGGAACCTCCTCATGGTCTTAGCCCACTGCCATGGGAACCTCCACATGGTCTTAACTAAGGATGCCATGGAAACCCTCCAATGGCCTTATATCCAACCGCCTCGGCAACCCCCCGAGGTCTACCCTACGACCATCACATATCACAACTATCATACCTCATAACATATAATCAAGTAGCATATCACATATCACATAATAGGCCATGGGAACCCCCGCATGGTTTTAACTGACTACCATGGGAACCCACACATGGTCTTCGCATAAATACAAAACATATTGACAACACATTTGCAAGTAACCACTACATGCAAGAGTCATGATGACAATTGGCATACTACATATAACTAAGTGCCATGGGAACCCCCACATGGTCTTAATCTACTACCACGGGAACCCCCCGGGGTCTTCCATACAAATTTCATACTAACATAACATATAATCAACCAACGATCTACATATCATATAATGGGCCGGCCTTGGTGCCTTAGACCTATTGGTATGGTGAGCAGACTCACCTCGAATACAGAAGCTTCCTGAATGAAATCCTTAACTGCTGCCCCGCCAATCAATATACCCAATTAGCAATTGGGTCCCATACTATATTCCTTAATCCATACATGGGTTAAAATGACTATTCTACCCCTGGCCGTGTATGATCCAAAACAAAATCCCAACACTAATGTGTCCATAAATCCATCAACGGCCTAATTTCCCAAATTGGGCCCAAACCTCAACATTGGTCTTGCCATGAGGCCCAATCATTCTTTTCAGTCCAACACACTTAGCATTCCCATGGTCTAATACCCATAATCATCAAAGCCTAATTATGGCCCACTTATGGCCTAATTTTCTAAATTGGGCCCGGACCTTTCTAATGGTCCTTATCCTAAAGCCCAATATTTTCCTCAGTTCATAACCTTGATTCCAATTGGCCCACGAAGGCCCACAGCAACTTAGTCCAGAAATGGCCTAACCCGAGGCCCGCAATTGCGATGTCCAACCTGACTGAGTACGCAGGGCGTACTCCGTTGTACGTTACTCGTACTCGCTTAACGGCTTGTACGCTGCGTGTACTGGCTTTTACGCCCAACGTACTACCCTCTTAATCCACTTTTTTCCATTAAGCACTTAATGTTTTAAGCCACAAGTCCAAACCACATATCTAAGTCCCAAATGTCGTCTAAACCCATAAAGTCACTGACTTGGTGACTTTGCATGCCCCATAAGGACCAAATAGCATTATACTTTCATCGAAATGACTCAAACTCCCACATAGATGGTCTAAAACTCTAAAGCTACCAACTTTATGGACCTTGAACCTTAAAAACACTAAGAGGGGCACTCAAAGCTTCTGGAATGAAATGAAGACCACTAGATCTCATACTTGGGACCAAAATGAACCAAAACCCAAAAATGGGAGATCTAAGAGATAGATGATCAAGTTCAAAGCTTTATACCTTCGTTAAGCTGAAAATGAGTCCCAAAAGCTAGGTCCATAAGCTCCTCTTTAATCCCCATCTTTGCATCAAACTCCATCTTCTTGAAAATTGGCCAAATGCTCCAAAAATGGATTCCATAAGCTCAAAATGCCACCATGAATGATACATGACGATTTCTAGGATTTTAGAGGGTGGGGGCTGCTTTAAAAAGAACAACAGTTAGCAACTTGAAACTATATTCCATAATGACAATTAAAGACGGATTTGTGACATATTTTATTACTTTAATGACGTTTTGAGAATGAAAAATTGGTCGTTAATGCGCGCTAACCTTCATAAGCCACTCGCTAGTTCGGTCGGTAACAATCATGGATATTGGTTTTATCGGCGTTGCTACTAGCCATTATCAATCGAATGTCCGATCAGTAGCGGACACAGACTGTTTTAGTAGGGGTGTCCCTCGTACTTCAAGACAGTGCACCTAATAGAAAAAAAAATTACACTACGTGCCAGAAATTGAGCAGTGGCC